CCCTCTCGATCCGCGGTGACGGAATAGGTGTCCCCCCACCGGCAACCGCTTCTGGTTGCTGGCTGGGGATGATACTGACGAGGAGGCTGGGATCTCGTCAGATGCTTTAGGTTAGTACTGTAACGAAGACAAATACTCTTTTTACTTGCTTGAGGAAACTGGGAGGCGTGATAATAATAGAACCTAAAATCTAAAAAGTGGCCGGCCACCAACTAGACGAAACGAGCGGACGATTCCTGGCCGCACGATCGCGCCAGCGATCGTGCCCAGATCCGCCAGGTGCCACCTGGTCCGGATCGGCCGCGCCCGCGGTCGGGGGCAGTTTTGTCCATATCCGGACGGGACAACCCCACCTGTAAGCGGTAGAGAGAGGGAGTAGTGGGGGTCGTGGGCGGCGGTTTCGAAATCTGTGCCTGAAATCCCTCGCCCGCAGTGTGCTCTCTCCCCATTCCATCTTTGTCTTCCTCCTCGCTATCCTCTCCATCGAACGGGCGCGATACGGGGGAGTCGCAGCGGAGTGCTCAGGTCGGCGGCGGCTTGCGGGTGGTTCTCCGCGCGGGGCAATCGCTGTTGCTCCTAGCCGTCGGAGGTATGCTCGCCTGCGACTTCTACATGCTTCTACTCCCTCTCTTTGTCTCGCGAAGCGCGGATGGTGCCGAAATCTGAGGGGAATGCTCTCTGGGGTTCGGGGACGGCGCGAACTACCCCAGCTTATCCTCGATTCTTGTCATGTTGAGTTCCCTTCTCCTCTCTGGTAGCACGCACCCAACGGTGGTCAGGATCTACAAGGACGCATAGTTCACGGCACGGGGTGGCTGGCCAGGGTCAACGTGTAGTTGGCCAGGGTACGCGGTAGTCGTTAGGTAGCAGGGGATGCATGTCCACGGCGCCCGTTGCGCGATTTTAGGGTGATTTTGGCTGTTTAGTTCATGTTCCGTTCAATTTTGCAGGGGTTTGAGATCTGTTCATGACTCTTAGTCATTCTGGAAGTTGTATTTTAGATGTGTGCAATGATGTATGCAATGCATTGGCTGATTTGTAGTTGGTGTTCAAAGATTTAGGTGGTTAGTTGCACAAAAATTCTCCCCAGTTGGCTGCGTCCATATAGTACTTGGCTGTCCATATGCTCTGCAGTTGCAGCAGTTGTTTTGGTCAGTTGTCTCACTGTTTGTACTAGTTGGTTGTCTATACGGTGTTCAGTTGCACAAGTTGCCTCCTCAGTTGGCTGCATCACTTTTACTAGTTGGCTGTTCATATGTTATACACTTTGTGCTAGTTGCTCTGCTTAGTTGGTTTTTGCTATTTCCCCCTCTGCTGTGTGCAACTAGGGACTCTTGTTTGTGCAATTTAGCACCAATGCTTGCCAGTTTTCCAATATAGTCTACCCAATCCACCAGCCTTGTGGTGGCTGTGGTGGTTCATGTGTTTTCTCCTGCTTTGTGCAACTAGGGGCCCCTTGATTGTGCAAATTAGTACCAATGCTTGCCAATTTTTCATTTTAATTTTTCTCAATGTGCAAGTCTTTGTTGTGGATGTGGTTGTTTTCATGCGTTTCCCCTCATGTGCAATTAGGGACGCTTATTTTTGCAAATCAGCACTGAATGGTTGCTAATTTTTCAATATAGTATGCACAATTGTTTTGCTAGATTTTTTGCTTGTTCCAGTTTGCACAAGTTATCTTACTTAGCTTGTTGCCTTTAGTTAACTATTTTTTGCCTAGTTATTACTTGTCACAGTTGGTAAATAATACATAGGCATAAAATAGTTAGTTGGCTTATATGCTGTCCAGTTTGCACAATGTTTACTGCCTAGTTGGCTGCATCATTGTAGTAGTTGGTTGTCCACATGTTTTTTTTTGTTTTTTGCATTTTGTGTCCTGCTTATGTGTAGATGTCTGTAGGTCAAAGCAACTTTCTATGATTTCCCTAGTTTGTTTCCGTATCTTCTAACTATGTTTTCTTTTGTTGTATTTCCTCCCGCAGGGCAAAAATGGTTATAATAGGAGGAGATGCGGATGGCAATGAAGAAGATGTATTTCTTTTCACTTTTTTCTGTGTTTTTGAGTTGTTTTCAACTTATGCATGTATGCTAATGTCCTTTTTTCATGTTTTCTTTTTGGGTTGCTTAATCAGCGTTCTGGAAGTCAGTCGCTTCGCCGGAGGTCGAAGCGTCCTGCTAATCGCCAGCCACGACCTGCGTGGAGTGTTGAGCAGGGAGAGGATGTTGAGGTAAGTGGCATGCTGATGACACAAGCCCATTTTTCGGTTTTGTTTGGGTCATATAACATTTTTTTTATTTTTCCCATGCTCATGTTTTTATTTTTTCTTAGGATGCTGAGTAGTTCCGTGTTGTAAAGCAGCTTAGACGTGCAACAGTTGGAAAGGAAGTTGAGTCATCTTCTAGGGTAAGTAAATTTCTCGAATATAAGTGTTTCTCACTTTTTTAGACGCTGATGAAATTATGCAGCAGTTCTCACCACTATTTTTGTTTTTAGTTTGTCAATAACAACCTTTTAGTTGACATCTCTAGTCATTTTTGATCTAAATACAGTTGACATTAGTTGGCATTAGTTGGCATCTTGTAGTTGACAAGTTGGCTTTTTTATAGTTGACATCACTCGTCATTTTTTTGTGCAGGTAGCAGTTGCTGGAAGAGCTGTCGCATCTTCCGCAACAGATGCTGAGGTATGTGGTTTTTTTTTGTGTTTATGAGCTATTGAACAGTTCCTTGCAAACCTTTTTTTAGTTGTTGTTATCTTGTTGCAATATCATTTCTTATTGTTGCACATCCGTTAGAACTTTTTGTAGTTGCCAGGTATCGTATATTTTCTTAGTTTTTTTTGAAGGTTGCACACTGGCAGTTTTTCAGTTGTCCTCATGATCTTTATTAGTTGCACAAATACATCATATTAGTTGGCATGATCCATTTTATGAATATATAGCTTTTTCCAATACTGATCCAAATGATGATTGTCAGATTTTTTTTCATTCTTTTTTTCTCTTGTTTTTAGTGTTTCCTTAATGTTTTTATATTCTCATCAACAGGCCAGCGGTCAAGGAGTTGAGGTGGCTGCATGGGAAGATGTGGACCGACCATCACAAGCGGGCAGGATAAGGGCATCACCAGCGCGGTTTGCAAATTTCAACGCCTCTCTAACCCCACCACAGAAGTCAGAGCTAGTTTCGAGGTTGTTCGGGGGGCTATTGAACTTGTCAGACACACTTCTAGTGGACCTCACTAAGTTCCTGGTGCAGTCCTACCAGCCACAGACCTCTAAAATGGTTTTCCCAGGAAGGGGAAGGATCCGTGTCGATGCTGACAGTGTTCAAAGGGTATTTGATCTTCCTAACAGGGGTCTAAAAGTCTGTTACAAAGTTGACAAGGATACAACTA